TTATTTTACACTTAGTATCATTAAAAATTGACAAGCTAGTTGAATGGTTGCCTTGTAGTTATGACACTCGGTATTGTGACCTCAGACTCCATAGAGAAGACTATTTATTTCAAGATTTAAAATACTTTTTTACTAACTAGTTCCAGGTGTAATTTTCAACGAGTTGAACAGCCGAAGATGAAAATGAAATTGAATAATAACTTTGAGAAGCCTAATGTCATGGCCACATTGGATTTTGATCCATGGACAAGGCTCAAAACTAAATGACATAATACTGGCTACCGATCAATGACCATTAATCGTAACTCATACAAGTATTTACTGTGAACTTTCCAGTAAACCTTTATTGAACCTGACACATAGAACGACCTTGACACACAAGTAAGTAGTAAATGATTTGGAAAATATATTCATTCAGTCAAGAAAACATCAAGTATCTACAGACTTTTATGTGATTTTTTAATTATAGCTTCACTATCCAAGTGATTACTGATAAACTAGAGAAAAAAATTAAGATTTAAAAATTGAAAATAAATTTCCAACAATGACCTTCAACGATAGTTTAAACAAATAAAAAATTGAAATCAAATCAGTGGATAATCCCACAAGTCAAGTTGATACACCATACTATTTCTTAAAAGATAAAATTTTGTTTACAGTTTTAGTTTGTATATATTTATCAGAAAGGCGATGTTTAGATCTTATCAATATAAGCAAACAAAGCCATTCATATTAAGCTGGCCATTATCAATGAGGGCATAGAATAATATCAAACCGTTTGTTTTCCCACGTTGTTTATTTGACTAAATTTCTTTCACAAAATAAGGTCAACTATACACAGATCATGAACGTGAATTGTACACAATGTATGTATCTTTATTACCAGAAAATGGACTGAACAGATTTAAAGATTAGTGTACATTGTAGTTGTATGTATGTATACATATATCTACGTATGTATATCGGTGTATCTGTGTATGTGTGTGTTTCTAGATAACCAAAACTTTAACTAGGAAAGAGAACAACACCAACAGCGGTACGAACGCATTAAAAACAGTAAATTTTGATTGGTTTCATGATGGTCATCTGTTGCTTTTCTTCATTCTAACTTTTACTTTTAAGTAAATTGTCATTTTGGCGCCATTCAATGTCAAATAGTACATAAAGATAGTATGCATATATACATATATGTACATGTGTGTATATGTCCAATTTTTTTTAACTTACTACGACATTTACCTAGTAGTTTATAGATTCATCACTTCTTGGTTCATTGTCACAGAGAGAGAGAGAGGGAAAAGGAACATGCAGTTTGGAATTTAACAGCATAGACTGATAACCTCATTTCAAACAAACAACGCGAGTAAAAAGGCTAAACAATACACAACTGTTCAATGTGATCAATGATAATTTAGATGCATTGAAAGGTTTCATTTAAGAAACAGAAATACTTTCAGGCAGAGTTTTGGAGGTTTGTTTTAGTTTTACACATTTGAAATCATCTATCAATCAATCATTGTTAGACCACCAGTAGAAACCTGGAAGAGGCACTGGACAGCCGTTTCGTCCTGGTATGGGACAACTCATCAGTGGCAGTGCGCATTTACGACTCCTGCACCTCGCAGGATTCGAACCTGTGACCTTCGGTATTGTGCGCGAACGCCTAACCATAGGACTACTGGGCCGGCATGCAACGGTGCTGATGAGTCCCGTACCAGGACGAAACGGCCTCCCAGTGCTTCTAGGTTTCTAATGGTGCTCTGTCTAACAATAATTGATTGGTTGATTTCAAATGTGTAAAAACAAATACACCAAGTCATCGAGAGAGAGAGAGAGAGAGAGAGAGAGAGCAAGAGAGAGGTGAGTAATTTCTATGTGTGTACAATCCTTGTGTGTAGCGAGTCTAATCAAAATTAATGTAAAGTTAGTCGTAAGTAATGTCAATTCAAATGGTACTTTACTCTTTCACTTATATCTCATACTTTGTAATGAAATTATCCTATCCAGTATAAAAGTTTACATTTTAAAACTACGTAAAGTCAATTATTAACGTTATTAATTAAAACAAATTTTCACGTTTGATTACTTGATTGATGATCTGATGAGGATGCATGTTTTAATTAGTAATCTGATTTTTATTTTTAAATGACACCATTTTTTAAAATTAACAAAATTTAAACAGTCTGATAGTTGCATCAGGCGGTTGTGAATATTGTTAAGTTACACATTTGAAATCATCATGAATCGATCAAAGTTAGGCTAGCATTAGAAACCTGGAAGCGCTGGACAACCGTTTCGTCATGGTATGAGAATCATCAGCAGTGCGCATCTACGACTCCTGCTCCTCTCAGGATCCGAACCCAGGACCTTCGGTATTGTGCGCGAACGCCTAACCATCAGACCACTGGGCCGGCACCCAACGGTGCTAATGTCTAACTCTGATTGATTTACGGATTTTGCGTGACCTCACTCATTTGTCTTTAGTAGTTACTGCCTACACCCCGCAGGGTTGAACTCCATTTGTCATGTCTTATCACTAGAACTCCGAGAATTTCCTCACGAAGCTAGTCACTGGTGAACACTGTTCTTGCAGGATTTGAACTCAGGACTTTCGCGCTTGTGCGTGAACACCTAACCTCTGGACCACTGAGCCGGCATCTGATGGTGTTGTTAATGTCTAACTTCGATCAGTTCCCATTAACAGTGCTTTCAGGTGGCCTAATGGTGGTCTAATCTGATAGTAGTTGCGAATCGAAATTATTGATTAGAAATGAGTATGAGTAAAAAGGAAAAGACAATATTCATTTACTCATTAATTCAACATGTTTTGATGCTCACTGTTGAATAATAAATTAGAATTTTTCGTAGATTTGAATTTCATACTGGTTAATGTGTTTATCAACACGATAGATCTCAAGTGTTGTGAGAAATGATTTCATTTTCCCTTATGGCTTGAACCATTTGTTTTTGAAAATAATCCAGGCTAATAATTACTTATTCAATGAATAAGGGTTATTATTGAAAAAATGAGAATACTTGCTAATGATCAGCAGTGATGAATCAGTTTGTATAGAGGAGACTAATGAAAACCAGAGGGAGTTAGACATTTGAACCATCCTGTATGGTAGATTCTTAAGTAATGTACACATAGAATAACACAAAGAATGAAATTCACAGAGCGTTAGAGGTTTAGACTACGAGATTTAAACAACTCTTGATATCTTGAAAAACGAAATCTCTCTAGAAATAGCTAGATAAGTATGTTACTTATTTTATTGGAATCACGAATCACTTATTGTTAAACCACCATTAGAAACCTGAAAGCACTGGACGGTCGTCAAGTTCTAGTTCTAGGGGATCATCAAGGTCTTCCACACGTGGCAATCGAACCCAGGATATTAAGTCTCTCGCACGAACGCTTAATGTTTAAACCACTAAGCCGGCACCCAACGGTGTTGATGTCTAACTTCAATCAATTCAAGGTATTGTTCAACTTGTTTTAACCGTGCTAAGATTATTCCATGAAAGCAATTCTTCGTTTATAGTAACCTCAACGTTTTAAAATGGTAACTAGTTAGAAGAAAACGAATAGAAAAACTCACTGTTTATGGATTTGAAAAATAGCTCAAAACGTACAAAATATCCAAATGAGAAATAAATAGAAGATGTCAACTATAAACAACTTTAAGCAATTAAGACTAGAGGATAAAATTAGTTTGAACTAGAAAATACTCTCAAGATTTAAGACGATGAATGTGTTGAATATAGAAATCTTAGAACAATAAGGATTATCAAGCGAAGTTCGCATGAAAAACTTAAATTATCCCTTTTCCTCCCTCGTTAATTCGATTCGATAGTAAATGTCTTTACAATTTTCAAACGCTTAGTGAATCAAATTATCAATTACTGAGAATTATTCATACTGTAAAACATTGAATAGGATTTTAATTACAAATTAGTTTCCCTAAGGTATACAACTGAAACGATTTATTAATATGATTATTGATGATTTCAAATGTGTAAAAAGACAAATCTCCATAACTCTAACTGAAAATATCATAACATGTGCTCACTAGTGACTAGCTTCGTGAGCAAATTCTCGGAGTTCTAGCGAAAGACATGACCAATGGAGTTCAGTCCTGTTGGGTGTAGTCAGTAACTACCAAATACAAATGGGTGAGGTTGTGCAAAATCCGTAGATCAATCAGAGTTAGACATTAACACCGTCGGATGCCGGCCCAGTGATCCGATGGTTAGGCGTTCGCGAACAATACCGAAGGTGCCGAATTCGAATCGTGCTAGGTGCAGGAGTCGTGGATGGGCACTGCCACTGATGAGTAGTCCAATACCAGGACTTGACGGCCGTCTTGCAGTGCTTCGATGTTTCTACTGGTGGTCTAACAATGATTGATTGATGATTTCAAATGTTACACATTTTTTGAAACCGTGAATCGATTTCAAATGTGTAAAAACACAGACCTCCTAAGCTCTGCCTGAAAATATTATTATTATTATTATTTTCATGAAATTCAACTTAGTCATTTAATTTTTAATAAAATTCACAATTAGATAAACATTTGGCAGAAAAAGACTTTATGTGGTTGACCATCACTTTGTGGTTTTTCTAGCTCTATTATTCAAACTGTATAGTTTCAATCAAGAATGAACCTTAGTCCGGTAAACATTGTAAAAAAAAACACTAGACACTTGTTTCGTTTTAGTATAAAAAACACTCATCAGCAGTGTACATTCATGATCCTATTAGAAGATCGAACTTATCCATTTTTCTTAGTCTTATGCGAAACACGTAAGCTTTAAACGATTGTCTAAATTCCCTTGATTCATGTTGTGTAGAGCTGTTGTCAATCGGTTATCTTACAACTGATATTAGTTAAACTTTGAATACGTTTTTCTGACTATTGCATTCAGAGAAAATCAATAAATTTAATCATAATTTCTTAAAAACAGATACACACACATAAATATATAAATTCACTTACATGCAATACGTACATGTGTTTGATTACTAATACGTACACGTGGTTCACCTAATTCCAAAATATTATTCCATGCCTCGCACTGACACCAATAATCACCAAACCATTCCTCGACTGTATTCTCATCAATTAAACGAATTGTTGTTTTACGATTTTGTTTATTTGTATAATTTTGTGATAATTTCAAATATAACGCATTGTCATGATTGTTAACATTTTGATTGATTTGATCAAGGGACGATGATGCTGATGCTGCTGATAATTCTACATAATCTTGATCATCATATCGTCTAGTTGGATTGTTTGGATTAGTAACACAAACTATATACAACAGGATAACTGGTTCTGCAACACATTGAACAATGGCCGGTTGCCATTTTGATGTATACAATATAGATGGTGGTTGGATAATATATTGTGGTATATTAGCATATAGTATTTCTTCATTTGGTTTTAATTCATAAGTTTTGATATCAAAATTTCTTGAAGAAGATTTCATTTGAAAATAATCCTTGTTTATTTGCATCAAAGATTCTTCTTCACCTGTAATCATTAAATGTTTCAATGTGGAGAGATTGAAAGTTTTTGGGTGACAAGTTAGAAATGGAAATTTTTGCAAAAAATAAATATTTAAAATATACCAAATTGGTGACATTTCTTGTTTCTATTTATTTATTTTATTACATTTGATTACATGTTCAATAAAAGTTTTAAAACAATGCGAAATCATGAAAATTGAATCAAGTTAACTGAATCAACTAATGGCTTTCTGTATTTGATTGGTCAGTTCAATTTAACCAATCACAGTGCAGCGAAAAAATGATTGGTCCATGCTGGTTTAAGCTGTTCTACTATTGGATTGTCGATAATTACACAATGTAATTATTTTTCAAGTTTAGAAGAACATGACAAACAAGTTTTGAAGTTTTTTTCCCATTAGTTGTATTGTCAATTTAGTTGTTTCATACTACTTATGAATAACTTTTATCTGCCAGTTGTATAAAGGTGTGTGGGGTTGCTAGATCCCCAGAACTCACTTGATTTTGGATTTATTTCATGGACAGATCAATTGACATTGAGATCACATTTCCCACCAGGAAAATCCTTAGCTATGATTGGTTACTGAGTCATTTTAGTGACTCTCCGAAGGACGTCTCTATAGAGTATAAATAAACGCAATTCGAGTTCTTGGTTTCATTGTCTGCAGGCTGGGTGTTTGTAGAACACACTTCCTACACTATATCAAGACTTCTTGCTAGTACATTTGGGTCAAGGGATCACAGTAGCATACCTGCATTCTGGTTCATTGTTTTGTTCTCGTTATTCGACTAAGGTGAACTCGTAATAGTTTTAGGCATACCTAGAGACGAGCTTAACAAAAGGATGGTCTATTTAGTTTCTCAACTATGAAAATTTGTTTGAATTGGAAAGTTGAAAGTCAAACATACTGTTTAATTAAGCTACTCGGTATGATTGGAATCTCATAACGACTTTCATAAAGTTGAATATTTAAGAAATCAAGAGAAGATATTCAAGTTATAATATTCCTAGTCAATCGTTCAAAGAGGTAGGGAATGATTACAGTGGAATTTATGAACACAAATTATATTTGAAAAGACATTGGTTGCACCACTGAATGTTCTACTTTATAGAGATAAGCATAAAAATCTTAAGGTGTGGGAGCGTTTTACATAGTATGGATCAGTTTCAAACTTAATAAGAATGAAAAAAACCATCTTTATATGAGTGTAGTGCTTAGTTATATTTTAGAGTTATGCTATACTTACACATTCATTGGACTTATCGATGTAGGTTATGAGTAAACTGATAAAATCTGTCATACTGAATATAAACTTAATTTTAAATACTGGTGTTTGATTATTGGATTACCGTTCATCAATTTAAACATCTAGTTTATTATTCGCTGACAACCTTCGAGGTCATGGCTTTGATTATTTTTGAGGTCATACATGTAAACTGCTGAAAAGCCCAGTATTAGGAGGAAATAACCATTCAGTGCTCCCCTTTTTTCCTAATGTTACTGTTAGGATATTCATCCACTATCCTAAGAGAGTTATTTGTGAGTTCGATTGATCACTTCCTATTGGTGGTTCTAACTATCAATGTCACATACTTCAATGTTTCTTATTCAACCTAACTGTATAAATATGCATTATCTGTAACGTTTTATGACCCGGATCCCTAATCCGGGATCCTTATCCTCTTCTGAACTCGGACCTCGTGCTTTCTGGATTCTTGTAGAATACAGGTTCTCCTTCATATCAAGTCTTCTTCTTTCACTCAATGAGGTTGGAGCAATCGGATTAGAGTACCCTGTCATGTCAGGTGAACTCGTAATAGTTCAAGCATATCAGATGACCTGTCGACATGCATGCGTAACAGTTACCAAAACTGAAATCGATTTCTTACACCATATTATTAACCACTTGTGAAGACTTATATGTACAATTATCACATTGTTAAAGATAATTTCAAGTTTTACTTTGTACATAAAAACTCTACTTGTTACAACAGTAACCTAAAGGATGGATCAATGAAAGCAAATTATTTTAAATTGATTACTTACTTATCATAATAAAACATTTTTAAAAAAATTCATTATTAATTTTATTCAAATGAAGCCCTGATTTCTTAAAATCTTTTTATAATTTACTTTTTATTTCCATATGTAGATGTTTTTAGATTAGAAAGAAAAAAAAAGAAGATTTTTCGTCAGATGGTTTCTGTCATTTCACTACATACTACACATCTGTTGATAATTTCATTAAATTTATTTGTGATCCAATGATTCAGAAAAAATTAATCGATTAATTAATTAAATTATTAATTGAATGACAAGTGTGAATTCTTTTTTTCAGTTAGAGCTTTGGAGATTTGTTTTATTTTTACACATTTGAAATCATCAATCAGTCATTGTTAGACCACCATTAGAAACCTGGAAGAAGCACTGGACGGCCGTTTCGTCCTGATATGGGACTCATCAGTAGTGCGCACCCACGACTCCTGCACCTCGCATGATTCGAACCCGGGACCTTTGGTATTGTAGGCGAACGCCTTACCATCGGACCACTGGGACGGCATCCGACCGTTTTAATCTCCGATGGTTAGGCATTCGCGCACAACACTGAAGGTCCTGGGTTCGAATCCTACGATTTGCAGGTGACGTGGATGCGCACTGCTGATGAGTCCCATACTAGGTTGAAACGGCCGTCCAGTGCTTCGATGTTTCTAAAAGTGGTCTAGCAATGATTGATTGATGACTTTAATTGTGTAAATATTATTGGAGAAAAGGCTAAATTAGTGAATTAATGTAAGAGATAATTCTCAGAGTTCTAATGAAAAGACCATTTCAACTCGTCCATAGACATAATCACCGTCGCATACCAGCCCAGTGGTCCGATTGTTAGGCGTTCGCGCACAATACTGAAGGTCCCGGGTTCGAATCCTGCGAGGTGCAGGAGTCTTGGATGCGCACTGCTGATGAGTCTCATACCAGTGCTTCTAGGTTTCTAATGGTGGTCTAACAGTGATTGATTGATGACTTTAAATGTGTAAAAACACTAATCTCCGTAACTCTTATTGAAAATATCATCCATAGCGTTTGACATTGCAGTGCACTATGCTGTTGGTTAAATGAAGTTAGAATAGTAAACCAATATTAATTGCTCGCTGAGAAAGCTAAAGATATTAAGCTTCACCTACTACATGATCATGGATGCATTTTGCTGAGGAATTTCCTACTTTTACCATTTAACCTATGCAGTACTTCCTTTTTCCTAATAGTTGTTTGACTACGGTCAATCCATGACGTGAACTATGTGACTTTACGCAAGTAGATCTGACTGAATAGAATATGTGTCAAAATTCATTTAGTTGCAGGAGTTGTGGATGAGTCTCATACTAGGACAAAATGGCCGTCCAGTGCTTCCAGGTTTCTAATGGTGGTCTCTAGCAATGACTGAATGATGGTTTAAATGTACAACAAATACTAATCTCAATAACTCTAATTGAAAAATTACTACCATTACAGGTCACATTGTGAAAAAAATAAAAATATTCATTTGAATTGAGTTATTATTTTCTACATTGTTATTGGTTAATGGTAAAGCCAATCAAATTTAAGATAACAGTTAAATTATCAATAATCAAAAATTATTTTGTATGAACATTTTTTTTGATGGCATGGTTGTCTTTGATTAAAAATGTTGAATGAATTTTTTCAGTTGATCAGATTTAAAGTTGAGGATATTTTTTTTGTGAATGACAGGGCTAAGCAACATGGATAGAGATTTAATAAGTAAAATCGATTATTTTAAAGCTTAACATAATAAATGGAAAAATGGTCATTTTTTCTTATATAATTTCAGAGTTTACAGTACAGTTAATTTGGTATTAAGTATGTGGTAGCTTTGAGAATTATTCTATTTCATAGAGTCGTCTGCATTCTAAGGAAGCAAATTTGTGGTCAGCATAAAAAAGGCTATTGAAATATGAGAAAGAGCTCACCAAAAATAACATTTACCAAATCATGATCATAAACTGATCTTTAGAAAATGCGATCATCCGTTTCTATGAGTATACTCTTTTTCATGAAGGAGTTGTGAAGGTTTTTCAGTTTCATTGTAATCACGAATCGATCAATACTAGACTGCCAGATGAAGTCTGAAAGCATTGGACAGCTGTTTCACCCTACAAAAGGACTCATCAGAAGTGTGCAATCAAGATCTTTGACTGTGATAATCGAACCCAGGACTTTCAGTATCGTGCGTCAGCGCCTAAACTCTAAACCCCTGAGTCAGTATCCAGCCGTCTTAATGTTTAACTGTAATAAATCCTAGGTACTGAACAACCTCACCCATTTTATTTGGCCGATAATTAACTGCCTACACCCAACAGGGTTGAACTTCACTGGTCTAGATATTAAAAGTTGATAATTGGCTGTAATATTTCAGTCAATCCGATCCTGATCAACATCAATGAAAATCAGTAAGAAATATATGCGAAATAACAATTAATCTCCGATTGTCACCACGAAATTAGAGACTAGAATAGCCAACATCGAAAGTCAGAATTTTCAATACAAATGTTAAGACAGTCTTGTTGTAAGGAATAGAAAGTTAAAGAACCACGAAATCCATCATCCAAAAGATAGAGGTGTTATTTGACGATTGTCTATACAAGATACTACCTATCCATTGGCCAAACAGCATCAGCGATAACCTACTATGGTATAGAACAAATCAGATTCCAATTGAGGAAGAATTTAGTAAAAATCTCTGAAAGTGAATAGGACACACACTGAGGAAGGCACCCAACTGCGTCGCAAGATAATCCCTAACTCGGGATTCTGAGGGCCACAGGAAAAGGGGTAGACTAATGAACATACTGTCACGAGAATTGAAGATGGACAGTAAAAAGAATTAGAATCAACTGGGAGGAACATGTAAAGAAGGTCTAGGACAGAGTAGGTTTGAGCATGTTGGTCGGTGGCATATGCTCTATAGGGAGTAACAAACGTAAGTAAGTAAGTAAGTGAGTAGGTAAGTAAGTAAATAAGTAAGTAAGTAAGTGCATAAGTAAGTAAGTAAGTAAGTAAGTGCATAAGTAAGTAAGTAAGTAAGTGCATAAGTAAGT